GATAAAAGCATGTATTTCTAAAGCAAATCGTATGATCTGCTGGATTGTAAGAAATTTAGTTATTAGAGAAAAGGTTGTGATGATAGCTATTTATAAAGCTTTGATAAGACCTCATCTTGAGTATTGTGTCCAATTGTGGAATCCAGTTGCGGCTCATGGAAGTTGGGGGACTGTTTTGGAGCTGGAGAGCGTCCAGAGGCGGTTTACCCGTCTTATTGATGAGGTGGGTACTCTTCCATACAGCCGCAGACTGGATATCCTCAATTTGACAACGCTGGCAGAGCGGCGAATACGTGGGGACCTTATCGAAGCTTTTAAAGTAACTAGTGGTTTGACTGAATATGGATCGGGTTTGTTCAGAATGAGCAGATCTGGTCTTAATCTAGTTTCAACTAATAGGTGTAATAAGAGTGTAACTAAAGTTAAGAATCTCCAGTCTTCTTTTCTTCCGGAGCGAGTCATTCCTTACTGGAACAAACTCCCTTCGGATGTCAAGAACTGCTCGACAGTTTTAAGCTTTAAAGTTAGATTGGAAGGATTTAAGAAAGAAATGATTTCTAAAAACAGTGTAAATGATTTTTATTTTTGGAATATTTCGAGTGAAGTTTTAGGGAAAATTGAAGGACCCAGTTATTTAAGCAATAAGGAGATACATAATGAATATCTTTGGTTTCATCCTTTTGTGGCAAAGAAGCGTTTTATAAATCTTTATTCCACTGGGAAGTATTAATGAATTATTTATAGATAATGTATTAGATTTTATTAATTAATAAAATTGAATTTGATAAATTATTAATGTTGATGGAAAAATATATTTATTTAAATTATTTTTTTATTTAGTGCAATGATATTTTGTAGATCACTTGTGATGATGTTATGTCATAATCTTTACTTACTTACTTACTTACTTACTATGACTTACTACCACTACTGGTTCGAGGAATTTGTCAAATCGAAAAGTATTAGAGTTCATTTTTTTCAAATGAAGGTTCATTTTTGCATTTATTTGATAGTTTGGATAATCGGATAGAGCTAAATTTTAAATTAAATTAGTGCTCATCGGTGGTTTTATTTTATTTTATTTGTAGAAGTAACACATTTTATTTTGCTGTAGCGCTCGATTTCATGATTAGACAAGAATATGCGTGCGGCACAGCACCAGTGACCAGACACGTTAACAATTTAATTTGACATCATTTTATTTATAATTTTAGAATATATCTAAATGCAACAATCCTTTTTATAACTATTGATCAATGTTGTATCATATCGTGACCCCCATTCACAGGAGGAGCAAAGTGCAAAGAAACTGTTTATACTAACGGCTACTAACGGCTACTAACGGCTACTAACTGCCACTAACTGCTACTAACATGTACTTACCCTATAAATACTATCAAGAATTGCGCCCGCGCCGGTTGTTTCGAATTTCGTTTTGGCGAACGCTAGATTTCCATTCTACATTTACTATAAATTTTTAATTGACGATGTCAATCCGTCGAGATCGTTGCTCTGCGAAGCAGAGCAACGATCGACGACAAGAATGCTAGTTCTCGACGACAAGAATGCTAGTTCGCGTGGCGCGTCGAAGCGGCCAAGTTCTCCAATATAAATTTAAGTATAAGATAAGCTTCAATTTCAGCTCACTTCAATTTTCATGATAATAATACTGCGATTGATATAATTATGCATTAAATACGGGAAACACTTGAAATTCAACTTGTATCTGTAATTCAAGAAATTGTAAGCAAAGGTAAACTTTGTTGCACGTTGTATACCTTTCGTGCACGCGAAGCGTGCACGCCGGCGCGCGCTCAAAAGGGGTTACAGCGTGTGTCAAGGTAAACTATACAAGTGTACACATCAATACACTTCGCATACCACGTACAAATTGGGCTTATAACCTAATATTATACATTACATCGTATACATTAAAACATTGTAGGTTTACAACCTACCAGGACGCGCGCCGAGTTGGACTCGTCGACGGTCCTGTATATGGAACAGATATTTTACGAGTATCACCCGTTAAATTAAAACACAGTCGCGCCGCGCATTCATAGATCACAGGCTATTTATACATTACATCTCTGCAAGCAACCCTCGCGCGCGCGCAACTTTGTCGTTGCATGGTAACGGACGCAGGACGTAAGGAAAGAATTGAAGGAAGGACACACGACATACTTAAACTAGGCCGTGCGCCATCGACCGTAAGACGCGCGCACTGACCATTGAATGGTTTTTTAGCTCGGCCAGCTAGCACATTATTTCGGAAACAATCAAAAAGTTATGATACTTCCCATATAACAATTTTTTTGAAATTTGGTCAGCTTACGTAAACATTTATGTTTTACTAAACCTAAATTAGTTTGAGCAATTTCGATGGTCAGAATTTAAGTTATCAACGAATTTATACCTATTTTGTCATTTTTAGACCTCTTAATCAAGGCCAATTTCTCCCAACTAATTAAGGTTCGGTAGTTAAGTATGATTGAAAAGTTCTGACAAATCTTCAGCATGATTCATGTTCAGGAACCAAAGATATGACAAAATAATACGACAAAAATCAACGAATTTCGTCAAATTACGCGACTTTTATACATAATTTTGCTTTCTAAAGCCGCGCACCATCAAATATGGCACCTTATAGACCTAGGCGAAACTAACTGATTATTCCAAAAAAGTATGATAAATTTGGTACTGTGAAAATTCTCACAGCCTCTAGAAAACAATGGTACAAAACTTTTGAAAATCCGAGCAAGTTTATTTTTATCGTGCACCCCCTACTTAAACCCACCTAGCTCGTTATCCAAAATCCACGTTTTTCTGCAAAAATCTCCATTCGTAACCTTTCACTATTGCCTTTTTACAAAAGGGTGAAATGGAAAAAATCTCTTTGGGTTGCTTTCGAGTCGATACCTAGTTTTTTAGGATAAGGGCGGTAGTTAGTGTCTAGTTAGCTATTGTTTATTGAATCTTTATTGCAGAGTAGTGAGAGTATAGCTGCCTGCTTCGGGTAGTTCTTCTTAATTGTAATAGATTAAGAAGAATTGTAATAGATTAAGAAGAATTGTAATACTAATAGATTAAGAAGAACTAGTATATATAGTACCTTACAAGACTTTTTTGTGGCGGACCAATTTGCGACGACCGAAATTTTGGCGGTCCGAAAATATGGCGAAATTGAACAAAAACCGTCACATTTCGGACGTCACAGAAAATAAGGGTACTTTTCATCATTTTTTGTGACAGTAAGCAGTAAGGAAATTTCTGAAAATCGGTAAAATCATGTTCAAACTTAGTCTGTATTAAGACTGTAAGACTTTCATGTTAGCACATACATGTATTTTAATGCAAATTTAAACTGTATTGCTTGACATTCAATTCGTCATTGGTGTGGTGATAATTTGTCCCAAGATGCCAGAATTTATTTATTTATTTTACTTGATATTACTTTTTAGAAACAAAATAAAGCAGTGAAGGCACAGTCATTGAAATAAGCTAAAAGATAATGCGACGGATTCTATTACGACGACCGAAATTTTGGCGGTCCGAAAATATGGCGAAATTTTCGGAAAACCGCCACATTTCGCACGTTATAAATATGTCTTGTAAGGTATTTAGAGGTAAATAGTATAGTGGTAAATAGTGGTAAATAGTGGTAAACAGTATAGTGGTAAATAAAGGTAAATAGTATAATAGTGAGAATAATGGCGGCGGCCGTGCTTGCCAGCACTGTGATATCGCGTGATCGAGACAGTTTTTCGCCAATATCTTTCCAGGGGAGCATTTTAACCCTATCATGTCATGGGGTGATTCGGAATCAGCGTCCAAAGATACATCGATTCAAGTTGGTTTCAACTGTCGGGGTGGGGGGGGGGGGGGGGGCCTTTTAGAAAAATCTTGAAGATCGAGTCTAGCACACTCGAGTTATAATCTATATTGAACAACCATTACATAACAGTGTTACACATCTCTTAATAATAATATAACTTATAGTGCTCTGATACGCACATGGGACACAATTCAGGAATAATAACTCCCACGTGACACAGGGATGACACCCACGTGTTGCATTTCGTCCCGCTCACAGCAACGCAATACTAGAACGTGTCACAAATATATTTCCACGTGCCGCATTATATATTCTCGTTCCTACAATACGCACGACTTGTGGGTCATATATCAATGACCTCATACTCTCTTTGTCACTCCGTTTTTTGTATGTTTGTTGTTGTGTCTTTAGTTACATAAAAACAACTATAGTTGTACCATGTTTACATTGTAAATTCAGCGATTTAATGAATTGAGCACATGGTCCGTGTTTGTGCGAGATCTTATCAGTAGCGAGTCTTAACTGCAGTATATGTTAGCAGTTCTGAGTTCCGGGCTCGATCAGTTAATTATCTGTGCCGGCTAGTTATTTTATAGATACACGTTGTATCGGGACTTGCACTAAAGCAGGTTTTTAGGAAACAATTAGGGCAGAAATAATGGAATAAATAGTCCATGGAATCGGAGGGGGTTCTACAAATATGTTCTTTTTTAAAACGATTCCCGCAAGCAAACATTATTTAATGTTATTAGTTTAAATATAGATTTTTACATCTATAACTGATCCTTAAACTAGGATTGTCAAATCTTAGGGTGCGGTACTCTAAAAGTATAAACGACAATTATAAACAACAAATGTGTCACAATTACTTTGCGATTCCGCACTTGCCTAAAATTGCTAAACGTGGGGTGATCAGCTCTAGGGCCAGGGGCTATTCCATGATCAAATTATTTATCGCAATAAAATGAACTTATACAATATTCGTAAAATAGCGATTATTATCATGGTAGACTACGTTACACAAGAAGATGAAGATGAACCACCATCTTATGAACAGGGAGCAGATACCCCTCAACAACAACAGTACCCTCAACAAGGGTACCCACCTCAATTTAATTTATTTACTGAGATAAAATAAAATTCTCATAAAATACATCGAAGTAGCGACTATTATGGCAGACTACAGTAAAGATCAGCCACCATCTCATAATGCACAGGGAGCAGATACCCCTCAACAACAACAGCACCCACCTCAACAAGGGTACCCACCTCAACAAGTTTGTCAGATTTGATTTTACATTTTCGTGGTTTTTAAGATATTCATCACCCATTTATGATTTAGTAGAAAGTAGATGTAGATTCTAGGGGGGATGTGTTTTTGAATTTGATTGATCAATGCTGGAAGGTCATTGGTTAATGGTTGTCACATGTCTGGAAAGATATTTTCACCTCCCCACGAGAATCCACATATAAATACCTCTATATAGACCTCGATTATGATACCCCACATTTCTCAATATTGGTCTCACATTTCTCATCCCCAGAAGGATACTTTTGTTAAAAACTTCCATCATTAATGACACAAGTGTATTTGTAACGAATCATTTTCAGTTTATCCTAGAGTTATTAATGTTTATTCTCAATTTCGATTGAATTTGAACTACTTCGATTTCCTCAGGTGTATCCCCCCGCTCAAGGTCAGCCCGGTCAGGGTTATGTTATTCAACAACATCCTCAACCTCAAGTTGTTGTGGTAGGTACATTTTTTTGAAAGTTTTCATTTTATTTTCCCATTTTACTGACACCACGACATTTGAATTTGATTGACGATGTCAATCCGTCGAGATCGTTGCTCTGCGAAGCAGAGCAACGATCGACGACGGATGCGAAGCAAGAATGCTAGTTGCGAAGCAAGAATGCTAGTTGCGAAGCAAGAATGCTAGTTCGCGCGGCGCGTCGAAGCGGCGAAGTCCTCCAACCACGACATCAATTTAAGATGTGTTCCTGCGAAAACCGTGAGAGATATAACATTATGAAACCTTCTTGGCTGGGTCGAATCCGTTTGTGCCTTTTTACCAACATGAAGAAATGATAATTGGCCTAGCAATATTCAATATTAAGAACTTAAGGTCCCAAAATTTGGACCAACATATTATTGTGGTGTTAAAATCGCAAAATAAAGAAATATTGGTGTCTCTTGACACCACCTTAGGTTAAGACGGGTCCCTGCTAGTAATTATAACTGAAATGTCTCATAATTGTTGTACTATAATTATATATTATATAATAATAATCTATAGTCAGTACTCTGGTTTCAATATGATATTCCTGCACTACGGAAAATACTGATGAGTGTAAGTTTTATCTTGATAGCGGTGATATTAAACTTCAATACACTATTGGAATCATCTTCAAAACATTTCCCGAACTCCCTCGCCAGGCACAGTAAAGCAACTTAATCAATAAGGTGACCGGACCGAATCACTACATGACTGAATCCCTAACGGACTGAATGAGAATCACTACCAATCACTATTGGTAGGGATTGAGGTATATTTTAGGACTGAATCACTACCGGACTGAATCACTACCGCTAATATCTAAACCTAACCACTTTGATGTGATCCATACTGAACTTTGCAATAAAGGCATAATTATTCGTATTTCATTAGTTAATTATTTTATTTTTTGTTAATTATTTGACCAAAACCCATAATCATGGGTAGAGTGGACCGCTGTCAGTGTCTCTCTTTCCCAAACAAAAGGAAATGATATTACTTTGATTGACCGTTCTCAAATGCAAAATGATACCGAGAATGAAATCGGTCGCTCGCTTTTCCCATTTATTCACAGCTTACGAATTGTATAATTAAGTTTCGATTGATTACATCGATCAGATGCTGTAAAAATCTCTTTGGGTTGCGTTCGGGTCGATACCTAGTATTTCGGGGTAAGGGACAAGGGTGGTAGTTATTACTTATTGAACAAGCTGAAGTTTATTGAATCTTCATTGCCGAGTTCAGCTGCCTTTGGGTAGTTCTTCTTAATCTATTACAATTGTAAATGAATGGGAAAAGCGAGCGACCGATTTCATTCTCGGTATCATTTTGCATTTGAGAACGGTCAATCAAAGTAATATCATTTCCTTTTGTTTGGGAAAGAGAGACACTGACAGCGGTCCACTCTACCCATGATTATGGGTTTTGGTCAAATATCATCTCTTTTTGATTATAATGTCAGGGTACTTTATAAAGTCGAAATATAAACTGATATCTTCATTAATAAGGAGGAAGTTTCAACGATTTCGAAATTTTTTCCTTTAAAAACATTTCCTTGTGTTTAGGGAAGCATATCGGTCGATCACTAACTGAATATGCCACTTAATACTCAGTCAAGTTGGCATTAAATTCATATATAATGACATTAAACTGTCGTGGCAAAGCAGAATTTGTTGGAAATCACGAATGAGCAAAATTCTCACCTTTCGCACGTGCAAACTTTGAGCGGACGTTACGTGCGCATCCAATATTGAATCGCCGTAAATTTTTGCATGTAATTGTTTTATATATAGTTTGATAAGCATGCAAAGTTCCAAAGTATTTTAAGAAGAACTGTAATCACAACGGCACTCTAAAGTTGACAGAAAATGACGAAAACAGCAATTTTCAGTGATTTTAGCGATTTTCTATAATTTGGGCGTGTCCCCACGTGTGCAACTTTTCGATTTTCAAAATTAAAACTAGCCTAATGCACAATTTATACCTATAGGAAGCAGAACTGAGCTCCACAACCCAAGGCATGGCCCAACACCAGAGAATACTAAATCGCAAAATTGACGTTTTTATAAAATAATTCTTCAAAAAAGCTCAAACTTCAATGACGAATATCTTTATGAAGGAGCAAGCTAGAACAACTTTCCGGTAGATTTTCAGAATGCTTGAACAATTATCTAAGATAAAAATTTCCTCAGATTTTGAATAAAATTACTTCTTAATGGTATAAAATTAATTTTAAAAGTTATCACTTTGTCAAAAATCAAGTTTTAAAAACGGTTAACTTGATGACGTCATCAAGGGGTGTTCATGACGTCAAATAATTTTTTTATTCAATGTAAACTAAAGTGTGAACAATTATTTGCAAGACCTGTGGTCGGAAATGGCTGTATCTTTTATACTTTTGAATCTATGGACACTTAAATACAGGGTACAATTGACTGGCAAAGCGTCTATCCCTGAATATGTATGTATATCTGTATTTTACCAAAACCCATAATCATGGGTAGAGTGGACCGCTGCCAGTGTCTCTCTTTCCCAAACAAAAGGAAATGATATTAATTTGATTGACCGTTCTCAAATGCAAAATGATACCGAGAATGAAATCGGTCGCTCGCTTTTCCCATTCATTCACGGCTTACGAATTGTATAAATTAGTTTCGATTGATTACATCAATCAGATGCTGTAAAAATCTCTTTGGGTTGCGTTCGGGTCGATACCTAGTATTTCGGGGTAAGGGACAAGGGTGGTAGTTATAACTTATTGAATAAGCTGAAGTTTATTGAATCTTTATTGCCGAGTACAGCTGCCTTTTGGCAGTTCTTCTTAATATATTACAATTGTAAATGAATGGGAAAAGCGAGCGACCGATTTCATTCTCGGTATCATTTTGCATTTGAGAACGGTCAATCAAATTAATATCATTTCCTTTTGTTTGGGAAAGAGAGACACTGGCAGCGGTCCACTCTACCCATGATTATGGGTTTTGGTAAAATATCACCTCTTTTTGATTATAATGTCAGGGTACTTTATAAAGTCGAAATATAAACTGATATCTTCATTAATAAGGAGGAAATTTCAACGATTTCGAAATTTTTCCTTTAAAAACATTTCCTTGTGTTTAGGGAAGCATATCGGTCGATCACTGACTGAATATGCCACTTAATACTCATTCAAGTAAGCATTAAATTCATATATAATGACATTAAACTGTCGTGGCAAAGCAGAATTTGTTGGAAATCACGAATGAGCAAAATTCTCACCTTTCGCACGTGCAAACTTTGAGCGGACGTTGCGTGCGCATCCAATATTGAATCGCCGTAAATTTTTGCATGTAATTGTTTTATATATAGTTTAATCAGCATGCAAAGTTTCAAAGTATTTCAAGAAGAACTGTAATCACAACGGCACTCTAAAGTTGACAGAAAATGACGAAAACAGCAATTTTCAGTGATTTTAGCAATTTTCTATCAATTTGGGCGTGTCCCCACGTGTGCAACTTTTCGATTTTCAACTTTAAAACTAGCATAATGCACAATAAAGACCTATATAGGAAGCGGAAATGAGCTCCACAAACCAAGGGATGGCCCAACACCAGAGAATACTAAATCGCAAAATTGACGTTTTTATAAAATAATTCTTCAAAAAAGCACAAACTTCAATGACGAATATCTTTATGAAGGAGCAAGCTAGAAAAACTTTCCGGTAGATTTTCAGAATGCTTGAACAATTATCTAAGATAAAAATTTCCTCAGATTTTGAGTTAAATTACTCCTTAATGGTGTAAAATTAATTTTAAAAGTCATTACTTTGTCAAAAATCAAGTTTTAAAAACGGTAAACTTGATGACGTCATCAAGGGGTGTTTATGACGTCAAATAATTTTTTTATACAATGTAAACTAAAGTGTAAACAATTATTTGCAAGACCTGTGGTCGGAAATGGCTGTATCTTTTATACTTTTGAATCTATGGACACTTAAATACAGATTACAATTGACTGGCAAAGCGTCTATCCCTGATCACAGTGCTGGCAAGCACGAGCGGTGTCTTTATTGGGGGTATACTATGTACCCCCTTTACTATTGTACCCCCTTTACTATTATACCCCCTTTACTATTATAACCCCTTTGATACTCGTCGGAAGCCTCTTTCGTGCACGCGAAGCGTGCACTCCGGCCGCCGCCTCTGGCAGGAGTTTTTCAGGCATTAAGACTCATCGGAAGTCGTTCAGCAGATTTATTTTTAGTTCAAAACATTCTAATTTGATGTCAAAGATGACAGGAATAAAAAATAGTTATGTTGAGATTTTTAAGAAATTTGCATAAAATACTCGCCAGCACTGTTATACGAAATTCGGTAAAAAACCCAAAATCGCCATATTCAGGTGCCTTAAAAACCATGTTAAAATTGAGTTAGAGATCTGAAATTTTTCAGGGCGTCTAGACGTTGACCAAATCGACTGCAAAAAAAGTTTCAGGTTTCAGGAGCATCGGGAAATGGGTTTTCTAGAACCCCTGTTTTACGATAGATTGTCGTGATATATACATATATACATATTCAGGGATAGACGCTTTGCCAGTCAATTGTAGCCTGTATTTAAGTGTCCATAGATTCAAAAGTATAAAAGATACAGCCATTTCCGACCACAGGTCTTGCAAATAATTGTTTATACTTTAGTTTACATTGTGTAAAAAAATTATTTGACGTCATAAACACCCCTTGATGACGTCATCAAGTTAACCGTTTTTAAAACTTGATTTTTGACAAAGTATTAACTTTTAAAATTAATTTTAAACCATTAAGGAGTAATTTTATTCAAAATCTGAGGAAATTTTTACCTTAGATAATTGTTCAAGCATTCTGAAAATCTACCGGAAAGTTTTTCTAGCTTGCTCCTTCATAAAGATATTCGTCATTGAAGTT